GTGTATGGTGCGGTGCTATATACGGAGCATGATAACAAAGGGAGCAGTAAATAAGTTGGCTTCCAAATTCCGCCGTACCTTCATGTAATGGTAGCTATTTTTAAGCGTGCGGTGTTGACAGTGTGTAGGGTGTCTTATAACTGAACGCTTACATAGTGCATCAGCACCTGCGGTACTTCCCTCTTTGTCTCTCGATCTTTGTTAATGAGGTCAGCTCTCGCTTTTTCATGACCATAAGTCAGTGAAGTATCAACATGATCGCTACTGAATCGTTTTTATTTTTGCCGATGATACTTTCCTATCTTACCTTTGCAAACAATCACCTGAATTTTTCCGATCACAGTCTTTAGGTGGACAGAAGTGTATTGTCATCAGTGAGTTCAGAAGGATGTTTTACACTTATTCTATAATGAGACTGACTCCTACGCTTCAACAAACGCGTGTGGTACTATTTACCTCCACACCATCGGTAGCGGTTCCAACCAATTTTTCATCGCGTTACTTGACATTGCACTCAGCAATCTCTGTGCCTCCCTAAACATTCTTAAACGCTTTCCGTCTTACTTATCGTGGTCAGCTGTTGCAACTCAGGCTTTGTGCTTTTTGGACCCCGTATAAAACGAATGTATACTTGTAAACAGTTTATTTAGAGTAAAACGAGTGTGAATATTAGCTTTTGTGGTTTAATCAAGTATATTGAAGAAATTCCATACAATAGTCCGCCATATTCCGTCTGCAATAATGTCTGCAATGGAAAACGAATAATTTAGGCGCAAATGGGAATGGAAAACGGAAAATCTGTTAAGATTTTTGTTCATATTCCTCGTTATATGGCAGGTGGGGTGTAGTGTTGCTACAGACAGTTCTTAGTATTTGTGTGCAACGGAAATTCTTAGTTTATCTACGTCAGTACTTACAAGCGGTATCTTATCTCATCTTTTCGAATCTGGCCACCAGGTTAACCTCCCGAATGCTTTTACTGTGATTTATCAGGTTCCAATGAGCAAATCGAAAGGTACGCGGTTAAGGATACTCGCCACTGCAGAGGCCATTGCGATCCGCATATTCCAACCCCCGCTGTGCTCGCAGAAAAAGTTTGTTTAATCTCTATACCTGCCCTGGCCGAACAACCATCAGCCTAGCCGTCACCCAGACATCGAGTCAGGCCTTGTGATTACGTAACCCTCAATCGATCTGTGTGCATGAGACAGCGGCGAACTATTCGCTGTCTAACCATTGACCGAGTCAGTTCAGAACATATCCCCGAACCAATCACTATCCATCCCTTTGTAATTTAACCTTATATGATTGTACCGGCCTGTAGATGAATCATTGAAAACAATTGTTTACCTCAGACTGATGTTCTTGATGTTCATTCAGTCTGATTGAAACAGCGCTTCTACATCGAGAAGCATTGCTGTTTGATGTTTGTACCACCCCAGCAATTCCTACCGTCTGTGGCACACCTACTTGAATTTCTACTCATGTTGTCAAGGTCATAAGACAGTTTGCATGGCGGTAGTCAGTTCACTCACTTGGTGAAGCGTCACATGTAGCTATCACAACACGCCACCTCTCGTCACACTCCCCATCTCAACGATCTGGTACTATAGGCACCCTTTTGTCTATTGACCACCTCGCTACCACTGCTGATTGGTCGACTTTTAAGCCGCGTTGTATCAATGGTCCCTGTGCCACTGCACTCGCGCGCACGGAGGGTGTCTATTAGTTTGCATGTGAGATGAAATCACGTGACCAGTCTGGAGACCATATGGTCTGCTCTTACGTGAACCGAGCGCGTGTTCCGTACGCACACACCAAAGCTGAAAGGAGTGACATCCGATGGTGAGATGGTTATCACATTTTACGCGATTTTTCTTAAACATCCCTCTGAGAGTGCGCATCTTTCGTTGTCACCAAGTATATGGAGGAACAGTTCAGCCCTTACTGTTGCAAACCCCCAGATCCATATGATTGCTCACGCATTCGCGGTGATAACACAGTTCATACTGTTGTTACAGTACCTATCTGTGCGTATATTCTCATAGACTATGTTTACGGTATCTTCGGATTTTGTCCTTAATCCCAACCACAGCGTTTTCCGCCCCTATTGTCAGCCTGAATTACGGTGTTGAAAGCACACACTAGAATTTTATGGTGCCGTCGTACATTTAACTGAGTTTGACGGTTGAACTGCTTCTAAGCACCTTCTTATACATTGCAGAAGCAGATACCTTGTATTTACTTTGTTGAGTTAAATTCGCATTTAGTGAATATCCAAACCGATCATTCCGGATCTTGGATGCATTGACCAGCGTGGCGCTGAACCTATGATTCTGCGATCTCTTCTATGGAATCAGTCCTCCGGTGTGAACACTCATACCAACATATACCGAACTCACCATTTCGTAGTCCTCAATGTTTCCACAAACTCTTCCTGAGTGATAATTCCGTCGCCATTTGCGTCCCATAGTTTAACAAATTTCTGTTTGATGAAATTGAACATCGTGTATCCTTTAATACTGCTCCATTTTAATCTGTACACATAACGTCACCATTCATGGATTATTATTATATAATTGTTCTATTTCAATTCCGATGGTTTTACTGGAGATATCAAGCATCTTGATACCGCCGTAAAATCTGGGGTTATTATTATTGCTTGAATGAATGAAATGTGTGTTCTTCAACTACGTTTGACGCGGTCCAACACATGTGGCCTAACGACAATGTACAGGGGGAGCGCAAAATAGTTTACGCAATTGTTCAATCCATTCTTTTTATTTTAGCATTTAAAGGTCTTGACCTTCAATGAGGACAAAGTGCTGTGCCCGCTGTAGGATTCATATTAATCACTATCTTTTGCTTTTGATCTAAGATTTCATTGTTGCTTCTGATCGAGACGTAGCCATGTGCGATAAATATCAAAAAGTGCACACACCGCTTCGACTTGATTTCTGAGTGGTTGTTCCTCCTTCCATTTCTACCAATTTAATCCTAACATCAGCGCCAACCACAGCTTCACAAATCTTCACATCTAGTTTTATTTATTCTCTAATCTCTAAATCGTATTTTTGCTTGCAGTGCTACCAGATCTCGGTATATCTTGTATCAGATTCGCAATATCGGATTCTGTCTGCAATCTGGCTCCAGGGTGTTGTTAACCACGACTGCTAACCCAGGCGAAGCAACAAACAAGTATTTACAAATCTTCATCAATTAACTCGCAGCAGGAACCTTGAAATGCGTCATCAAATTACGGTGGGCCATAAACCACCACCACCAATTACTGAATTCATTCGAACTCCCGTCTTACTGACCTGTGCTAACGATTCAGGTAGTCCGAGACGTTTTAATTCCTCCTCGTACTCTTTGATAGTTATTTTTCCGTCACTGTCAGTATCGAGCTCAGCGAATCGTTTTTCCAATTCCTCCTGCAGACTCATTTCGCTTTCAATGTGCTAAAATTCACAAAAGCATTAACTAGGGTGAAAGGATTGGTATGCGAAGCGAATAATACATATATATATATATATATATATATATATATATATATTGGTTGAAGCAGAGCTGCAATGAAGTATATTTGCATTGAGTGTGTACACATTTCATCGTAAGAAGAGCGGGATGAGCCACTAAGAGCAAGTACATCGATGTTGGTTTTGTCGCTATAGCCTGATATTACATCAGTTGTTGATGAAGAAATAGATGAGCACGTTTACTGGTTGCTCAGTTACTGTAAACTAAAAATAACGATGGTTGAGCGCTCCAAATGGGATTCAGTATTTATGCTGTTAATCATCATCATCATCATTCATTGTACACGTCGGCTAGAGGTGGGAAACACCTCAGCTACTGTGCAGCAATACATAAAGGAAAAGGATAATAAATAAAACACTTGCATGCCAGCTGAGCTACCAGCAACGGATAGGCATCGTTCAAGTAAGCTACCAGCCGGCTACTAGGTAAAAAGAAAAACTGTTATGTTTTACCATACGAAATGAGATCGTAGGTGGAGGGGAGGCTAAAAGGGATGAGGAGGGACAAAGAAACTCACAGCAGGAACGCCACTGAGGTCGGCTCCTTGCCATGTCAGCAAGTGTATCCAGCCAAACGCGTTCACCGTCTTTCGAACCCCAACCTGGGAGCGGTGAAGCTCCAACGGAGGCCAGCTCAGAAGTGAGGGCCTTCATTCCTCTCGACCAAGTCATCGCTTGGCCACCCCTCCTCTTCTTTCATCCACATCCACGGTGAGCAAACAACGCACGTCGTGGAAGTTGGTGGGCTGGCATGCGTTACATGTGGTCTAGCCATCGGAGCCTGGTAGGTGAAATGACGGTGATGAGCGGTTCGGTTCCATTTTCTGTGCCGTAAACAAGGCGTCGAACACGCTCGTTACTCACGGGGTGTTCCCACCAGATGTAAGCCAAACCGCGAAGGCACCGATGGTCAAACGTAACTAGCCTCTTCATGTCCGCCGATCTTAGGGGCAAAGTTTCGCAACGGTACTGTGAGGTCGAACGTACCGCTGCACTGTACACTCTAGCCATCATGGCGAGAGTGATGTCGCCCCACCGCCATACGTGGCGAAGGTTAGCAAAAGCCCTTCGAGCTTTTGCTATACGGTTTATGATCTCATCTTCAATTTCACGGGCACTGATATAACTTCCTAGGTAGTTGAATTTTTGAACAATTTCTAGCTGATCCCCACCAAGGGATAGGTAGGATGCGGTCCAGGCCAATCTTGGAGGAACGCTTTGCACTTCGAGGGCGCGAAGCAAAGCCCATGTGACGGACAGCCAGTGCTAATCTGTCCAGCGCGGCTTGGCACGTCTGGGAGCTGTCACAGATGAGAGCAATGTCGTCTGCATACTCCAAGTCAAGAAGTCGTTCTTCTGGGAGTAGCTCCACACCATCCAAGCCATGTCTTGTAAATGCAATCCCCATGACTTCGTCAAGAGCGACGTTGAAGTGTAAGGGTGACAGCGGGCATCATTCTCTCACACCGCTGGAGATATTGAAGGGTGGCGACAGCTTGCCGTAAGCCCTTACTCTGCCCGTGCTACGCGCGTATAATGCTTGGATAATATTTACATATTTCTCGGGCATACCTTTCCTGAGTAGACAATTTCAAAGGGCACATCGATCAACCGAATCGAAGGCAACTTTGATGTTGAGGAACACGACTAATGTGGGCCGCTAATATGTGTGACGGTTCTCCAACAACTGACGCAAGGTGAAGATGTGGTCGATGCAGCCACGACCTCGGCGATGCCCGGCTTGCTCCTCACGAACCTGGTTTTCACGAGCACCAGTCAGTCTGTGAAGGGTTATGGAGGCGAGTAATTTGGAGGCGATGGAGATCAGACTGATTGTTCTGTGGTGGTCGCATTCCGAACACGAGCATCCTTTGAAGATGAGAACAATAACGAAACGGCTCCGGTCGGTTGGGACAGTCTCCTGCTTCCACAGTTTCACTAGTAATTCACGTAAAGCATCAACAAGATTAGAGCCTCCGAATTTGAAGAGGGCTGGAGGAAGATCATCTGGTCCTGCGGCTGTGTTCAACTTCAACAGTCCGATCTCACCTTCTACTTCTGAGCGAGAGGATGGATCTAAAGGGACAGCCCACGGAGCAGAGCGATAACTGGCCGGCGAAGAATCGAACAATTCTAGCTGATTGCATTGCTTTTCATAATTCTCATCCCAACGCTCCAAACGTTTAGACAAATTGTGGATAGGCTGTCCACTCTCGTCACAAATGGTTTCACTAACACCAGGTCTCCTGCTGCCCGTTTCCCGTATCAGACGGAATAACTTTCGATGGTTGCCAAGGAGAGCGACCACTTCCTTCTCTGAACAATGAACTTATACGGGTTAAGAAGCTTTGCTTTACAAGACCCGTTGGATAGTTGGTTGAGATATCAACATAACAAGCATGATAATAAGGACAGTAAAATTGTTAACAATTTAAGTATGGAAATGAGGACTTATCTTTTGCTCCGCTATAGTCCTGCGATCCTCTTAGATTCACTGCAACCACAGTTTACAACAAATAATTCCATGGTATACTCCAGGTGTAGGATGGATTCGTTGTGTTAAGTAACAAAGTGTAATTGGATGAGTGCATCGTCCAAACGTTTTTTAATATCGTTAATGTCGGTGCAGAGACGACCCATTTTGGGAGAGCATTCCACGGGTAACAGACACGAATGGAAAAGCAATTTCTGCTGCCCTCCAGACGACCGTATTGTTCTGCGAGTTTTAATGAGTACCCCTTCAGGTTTGTATTGCTGCTGAGTTGCCGTAAAGGGCGGCACACATGTGGATCTCGCAGAATTAAGTATGCCATAATCAGGTCGCCTCGCAGTCTGCGATAGCTTCCACTGAACACCCCCAATCGTTGCAGCCTCTCCTGGTAGGAAAGATTGCGCATTCCAATTACGTTCTTAGATGCCCGGCGTTGTGGCTGCTCCAGTGCATTAAGGTCGTGTTTCAGCCATGGATGCCAGGCTTGAATTGCGTATTCGACATGGGGGCGAACATACGCACTGAGCACTTGTCGAAATATGAAGCCGTTTATTTGTCCAAACGCCCGTCGCAACAGCCCGACGTGTTGGTTCCCGGTCTTCAAGGCCTTTTCGGATTGCCTGGAGCAATCCGAGTCGTCTTGAACCAGGACACCCAAGTCACGTTCGACAGTTGATCATTGTAGTATATTCGTTCCGAGCCGGTATGAGGAGCTGTCCTGACGCATGATGAGGCCACCAAGATTCGCGGTCTCACTTCAGGCTAGCACGGAGTCTTGTCCGGAGCTCTGTACGTTTCATTATGTTCGCTTCCAGCCGGGATATGCCGGCGAGCATCGATAAGTTCCAGAGACCGCGAAGAGACCCAATCTCCATGTTGGCTATTAGACATACCACATGAGGATTTGCCTGCTGCTAGTACGGTCGGACGAACATGTGACCAGTGACCATCAATTGTCTCCAGTGAGCGCTTACTCAACTCGCATGTCAGCGTATTTCGATACCCATGCAGAACAGCTGGCTTTGTCAGTTGACTGGTGTCAATGCGCACATAGTGTCGTTGTGGGCGTCCACCAAAACGCATCCGCAGATCAGCACATACAAGTGCATGATCGGTGTCCACACATGTACTCCAAATCGAGCGACAGTTCTGGACGCAGCCTCTCTAGCGGTAACTTATCGCAGTGTGATCGATTTGCGTCCATAGCTGGTTCGAGGCTGGTGGGCGCCAAGTCACCCTCCGGCGGGCGCTGTGTCGGAAGTTAGTTCTCGCAAGAAATAAACAGGCATCTTCACACAAATGAAGTAACAGCTCACCGTTATCATTACGGGAACCTACACCGTGCTGACCGCCCAAATGCATTTCACCAGTGGACAACTTTCCAACTTGTGCGTTTAGATCTCCCGCCAGCACAACAGTGTCCGTGCATCTTCTGTTGCGAAGAAGCTGGGTCAGTTGGCGGTAGCAGTCGTCCTTTGCCGAATCACGGCTAGAGTTTGTGAGTGCATAGGCAACGATGTCGAATAGACAACTGTTAGTCCCGTGCGACTTCGAAACTTTGAACGAGCCAGCCAATCCGACCGCGCACTTCCGGCACTGATTGGAATCCCATCAACCAGAGCAGCTTCAACCCGGAGACTCAGGGCAATGCCAACACCGGCATGGCCGGTGCTCGAAGCTGCGTCGTCACCGGATAGGCGCAATGAGAAAATACTGCTTGCGTCACCTAAAGGGGAGCGCAGGGTGAGTACAGAGCTCGACTCTTGCAGGCGGGGCTCTGATAAGCAGCAGATAGCGATCGCGAGGGTCACCAATGTTTGTGCAAGTGTTGCCTGTTGACCGATCTGTAGTAATTTGCGTACATTGGGGCATGCCTATCTGAAGGAGGATCGAGGGCTGCAAATGCAAGCCGATGACCTGGAATGGACCGCTTGGTTGGACATGGGCTTGTCGATAGGAGAGGAGTGACGCTCCGCGTTAGCATGTGAGTTGAAATTAGAAGATAAATGCCTAGCAACGCATGTTGGGGAAGGGCCAAGAATCGGGGGTTGAAAATTGGGGGGATAAAACTGAAGCGGAAACAAGATGATAAGGGTGAAAAAGCGTAAGAGGGGGAATAAGAAGACGGGAAGGCTTGAGCAGTAGCATCCAAACCCCTATCCACCCTGCTAGACGCGCAGATAGGGTACCGTTGATTATCCTCTGCGGTGGCCAGAGCATCAAGAAATTGTTTGACGAAGGCGTGGGCAGGATACTGTCAGGTTGCCCAAGCCTAGACAAGAGAAGGATTAGGGTTCTCAACCAAAACCTTTGGTTCCAAAACCTTACCGCATAGTATCGGGTTCGGCGTTGGGCTGCAAGAAGTCCGTTTTAATGAATAAGGAGCCACCCTCATTCCAACCACCAACCTGGAGTACCAGGAGGCTGGGTT